TGTTGTTATGCTAATAATCGAATGATAGAGACGTCATTTATGAACAAATATGTCAATGTTTGACTGAATGACAACAATTTCCTTCTTTGGAAGAAGTAAGTGTTTCTTATGATTCAAGGACATGAGCTGGAACATTTGTTAGATGAATCTTTGCCGATTCCACCTCAGACCATTGTAGATTATTCTGGTGAGTTAATAGTGAATCCAGTGTATCGTCTTCACAAAAATCAAGACAGATCTTTAGCATCTTGGCTCCTTTCAACAATCAGTTCTTCGATTCTACCTCAGCTTGTGGGAGCACATACTTCTGCTAGGATCTGGAATATAGTTCTCAGCATGTATTCAAAGCTCTTCACTACAAAGATTATGAGCTTGGATGAAAGGCTTAGATCTCTTAAGAAAGGAGATTTGTCGGTTCGTGAGTTTTCCACACAAATCAAGGAGATTTGCGACTTACTTGCTACGAGTGGGAGTCTGGTTTAAGAGATTGATCAGATTATTACACTACTTAATGGGCTCCTTGTTGATTTTGAGCCATTTGTTGATGCCATAACTGTAAGTCAAGAACCATATACGTTTGACACTGTCACTTTGGTTCTTATTGATATTGAATCACAGATTGGTGATCTTATGAAGACATTGGTTAGTATTAATCTGACCAAGCATGATCGTTATAATGAAGGAAATGTTGATGGTAGTCATGATAGGTACTATGCTAGCAATAGATCAAATGATACTCGGGAAAAAAATCAGAAAACTAATAAGTATAAGGGCAAACCTTGACATCAGTGTCAATTATGTGGGAAGATTGGCCATCTGGTAGATAGGTGTTGGCATCGCTTCGATGAGAATTACAAAGGAATAGCGTCAATGCAATCCAGGGATAACAATGAAATGCATGCTAATATGTGTAAATATGATGCTAATTCCAATGAATCTTCTTATAATCTATTTGTAAGTACAGGTGCATGTGGTGAGGTGGTTAATGACGATGCCACCGCTGATACTGTGTAAATCAATTCGCTCATTGCTAAAGGAGTACTGTCTGCTACTGATAGATGGTATCATGACTCATGAGCTACACATCATGTGACATATGAGAAAGTTGGAGCATCTTCGGGTCGGTCATACTCTGGTAAAGGTAAGATTTATCTTGATGATGGTTTTACCTTACCAATTTCACATGTAAGTGATGTGCCATTGGCTGCTAACACATGTGATTTACAACTTAAGAATGTCTTGTGTGTTCCAAAAATTACTAGAAACTTATTATATGTTTCTAAGCTTTCACAAGATAATAATGTTTATCTAGAGTTTCACTCGGACAAGTATTTTGTGAAGGATGAAGAAACTGGTCGAATTCAATTGGAAGGTAAACTGGAGGATGGTCTGTATTACTTTGATAGAATTACTCGAGTTAATGGCATGCTTCATCAGGTTACTGCTCCTACTGACATAGAGAATGTTAAGTTCAATAAAAGCTACTGGCTATGGCATAGACGTTTGGGGCACCCTGCATCAAAAACCTTATCTACGTTATTTCATATTAAGAATAATGTTGATAATAATAGTGAGATATGCACTGCATGTCAACTAGAAAAAAATTACATACTTCCGTTTGTGCAGTCTGATACTGTTTACACTCAGTTGTTTGAGATTGTAGAGACTGATGTGTGGGGACTAGCACCGATTAAATCTAGTGGCTGGGAATATTATGTTTCTTTTGTAAACATGTATAGCAGAAATGCCTTGGTATACTTGTTTAATAAATCAGATATTACTCAAGCGTTTAAATTGTTTCATGCTCTTGTTAAAATCAGTTTAAAACCTATATTGTAGCATTGCAGACTGATGGTGGAGGTGAGTATCGAGGACTAGATCAATGTCTTGCAGCTGCAGGAATAAAACATAGAATTACATGTCCACACACGTTGCAGCAGAATGGTGTAGTTGAGCGTAAACACCGTCATATAATTGATACAACTTTAACTTTTCTTGCTCAATCGACAATTCCTTTTAAATAATGGTCAAATGTTGTTCTTACTGTAGTGTACCTAATCAATAGGTTACCTATAAACTTACTTGGAGGAATCTCAACGTTTGAAAAATTGTATGTTAAGAAACCTGATTATCAGTTTCTTCGAGTTTTTGGGTGTCAGTTTTCCATGTCTTCGACCCTTCAATCGTCATAAGTTTGACTTCAGGTCTAAGTCATGTGTGTTTCTTGGTTACTCACCATAATATCACGGGTACTAGTGTCTTGATGAGACATGTCGTATCTACATTTCTCGACATGTTACGTTTAATAAGAATGTATTTCCATGTGCATCTGTGCATGTAAGTGTTGATAAGGGTGTTAAACAAACCGAGTGGGCTTTTCCCTTTCCCTGTAATGAGTTCAGTTCGAATGCTCACAAAGATATGGTGTGTGATAGTCCAATAAGCGTACCTGGCTCGGTGAATGATAATGTGGTAGGTTCGGTCAATACACCTGGCGTGAATGTTGGTCATGATGATAGGTTACACACGATGAAGGTAGTATCAGAAGCTATGCCTAGGGCTATTGCTCAACAAGAAGATGCTCAAAGTGAATCTATGTCTTCTGATGTTGTACTAAGAGATAGTCAAAATGGTTCAGTGGGTATTCAAGAGTCAAGTGTTCCAAGCAGTATTGTACCTGATGAAAATAATTGTACGGATGTTCAGCATGCTACAAACAGGCATCACATGATTAATCGTAGCAAAGTAGGAGTTTTCAAACCCAAAGCCTATAACACAATGTTTAATGAAACTCCTTTGAATGTACAGGATGCTTTGCTACATAAGCATTGGCATGTTGTAGTAGAAACATAATTCAAGGCTTTAATTGATAACAATAAACGGAGGTTAATTCCACTGACAGCTGATCGAAAAATAATAGGGTGTAAATGGTTGTTTCGTATTAAATAAAACTTAGATGGTTCTATTAATCGATTTAAAGCAAGGCTTGTAGCAAAAGGATAATCTCAAGTTCCAGGGTGTGATTTTGTTGATACCTTCAGTCATGTAGTGTGATTCTTCACGTTAAATGTGTTTCTTTCTGTTGCTACTTCATTAGGATGTCAAGTCTACCAAGTTGATGTGAATAATGCTTTCCTCAAAGGTGATTTGCAGGAGGAGATATATATGAATCAACTAGAAGGGTTTGAACAGGTTGGTTACCATGGAGAGAAGATGGTGTGCAAACTTCAAAAAGCTCTCTATGGACTTAGACAAACCCCTCGAAATTGGTTTAATAAACTTCATCAGTACCTGTATGATTTGGGGTTTCGTTCTTCTAGGGTTGATAGTTCATTGTTCATTTATGCTTCAAATAATGATGTCACGTATGTTTCCATTTATGTTGATGATATTCTTGTGACAGGTTCCTCTGAAAACCATGTTAAAAAATTTAAAAAGCATCTTCATGAAAGGTTCTTATTAAAAGACCTCGGGCTTGTTCACTATTTTTTAGGCATTGAAGTTGTTCACACTATAACTGGACTGTTTCTCAGTCAAAGGAAGTATGTGGAAGAGTTGTTGCTCAAGTTTAATGTGCATGTTGTCAAACCAGTGGATACACCTCTACCTGTCACTCCTAAATTGAGTACAGAGAATCCAGGAGCTCCAGTGAATGTTCAACAATATCGTAGTGCAGTTGGTGTATTATTATAAGTGTGTCATACTAGACCAGATATTACATTTTCTGTTCATAAAGTTGAACAGTTTATGCAGTCACCCCATGAAGCTCATTGGGTGGGGGTTAAACGCATTCTTCGTTATCTAAAAGGAACGTTGGACTATGGGCTTTGATTGACCAAGAACCAAAGACAACTTATGGTCAAGGCCTTTACAGATGCAGATTGGGGTAGCGACTCCAATGATAAGCGTTCGATTTCTAGATACTATATTTACTTAGGTAGTCATTTACTGTCATGGAGTTCTCACATACAAAGGTCAGTGTCTCGATCCACAGCTGAGGCAGAATATTGAAGTCTTGCTGACACAACAACTGAGGTTCTCTGGGTGAAAGCTGTTCTTGATGATATGAATGTAGAGTTGTCTCAATCTCCGGTTATATGGTGTGATAACACTAGCACTATTGCCATGGCTGCCAATCCTGTTTTACATGCCAAAGTTAAGCATGTGGACTTAGATGTACACTTTGTTCGGGAAAAGGTGATGGATAAGCAGTTAACTTTCAATTATGTTCTAGCACACTATCAAATTGCAGATGTGTTAACCAATCCGTTAATTACAACTCGGTTTCAAGAATTTCGTCAAAAGCTTAATGTGGTCTCACTGCAAAGGCTTCAGCTGCACAAGGATTAATTTGTTTTGCTTGGAGAAGTTGAAAAGTGGGGTGAATATTGAGACAAGAGTAGCGCCAGCTTAATGAGCTTAATGACTTAGCTGGAGTTGTTAGTTACTAACCGTTTCTGTTAAGGTTAGTTATGTAGTTAAGCCAACTTTCTATTGGGTTAAACTCATAGTGTTAACAACCCGTTAAGAAAAGCATGTGGCTATATAAAAAGACCTATTGGTAAGGGCTAGATGATTCCATTAGCCTACATTTTCTTTTCTTTCACCTCTCTTTTCTTCTGGTTTTAGGCTGTGTAGTTCACAGTTTTAACATTATATATATTGCTTCTATCTAAAAGAAATGAATGGCTTTTGGATGAAAAGAAAAAGTTGGAAAAAGTTAAAATCTTAAGGATACATGTGATATCATGTATTTGTACTCTTCGTGTTCTCTACGTTTATAGTAGATTTTTGTTCATCTCACCCGTAGAGGTAGACAAGACTAAATTACGTTAAATCTTGTCTCTTGTACATGTGTTATTTTATATTGATATCACTTTGGTTATCTTTTCCGCTCTCAAATTTCTAACGTATTCAAAGAACCATATTGCTGGTCTCTTAAGGACAATAAACTCATGTTTACAAAGCACGAAAGCTTATTAACTCTTACAATTCTCCTAATAAAGCTGATTCTGATCACCATACTAGAGAATAGCTAGGAACTCTCAAGAAAAATATGCATTCACTTAAAAGTGAAGAAAGATAAGAGAATTACTAGTAATGTTACATTGAAGTAGCATTATGATAACTTCACTGAAGAACCAGCTAATTGATTCAACTACATCTCTGAAATATAGCAGTCCTCAATGTCTCCTCGTTTATAAATCCAGGAGGAACTCTGACAATAACATCTTGAAGCACTTGCTCATTCACAGTTGATATGCTGGCATGGTGCACCTGAAGTTCTAGGGCTCTAAGAGCACCCATCAGTCTTGCAGCTGGGAAATTGATATCAGGACATTGAACTCGAATCATGGCATTTGACCCTACAATCCTCACGTCGACTTTCATTAGCGTTGGCCCATTATTTGAGGTCTGCCTTGTATTGTCAATGGCGCTTAGCTCGGATTTTGGGGATTGAACTTTCAGGTTAATCTCCAGTTTTTCAATCTTGGATCGAAGCTCCTTGATGTAGGCTACTGCATCCGAAAGCAAAGATGCTTTGTCCATCTTGGACACGGTAGGAACCACGGATCGAAGTGCATAGAATCGATGGTTCAGCTTCTCGCGACGCTGCCTTTCGGCTTCGACGTGGTTTGAAGGGGTTGGTTTTCCACTCCCTGGCTTCCTTCCTCTCTTCTTCAACTGAACGTTGAACTCCGCGTCAGCCCCGGAGGCGAAATTGCCTTCAGAATCAGCACCGGAGTCCGATGACGAGCGGACTAATAAATACATAGTATCTTTGTTCGTCTCACTTTGTTGCTTATGATCACTTGAAACCTTCCCAATATCAAAATAAGGGGCAATTTGAGTTGCACTTTGGACCTCAGAAACGAAAATTGATTTTGCAAGCTGCAGCATGCCGCAGTTCTCTTGTATAATTTCCGAAGATCCCAATTCAACTACACCGAAGGAAGTCGAGAGGCAGACTAAGGTCTGAATTCCTCGCATTCGAGCTTCTTTAACTCGGTCACATTCGTACAATTGCAGCCCCAGGTCTCCACTCAACCATATGTAGGAGCCTAAGGCAAAGGTCTTCCCAACAACGCCATCTCCGATGGCAAAATCTCGGGTCATCGATGCGGTGTAATACCACTCGAAGTCAGTGACATCGGCATCCACCATGTTCCCGAAACTGGACAGAAATCTGGATTGGCCTAGCTTGTTTCCAGATTTGCCTGTAAAAACACTGGTCCCCTGAAAATACCCATCTCCCCATAATAATACAAGGTGATTATGAGCGTCCCTGGAAGCTTGCCAGAAAATGGAGTATACCCACCATTCAGGCCTGCTTTGGAGGAGGAACTGGAGGCGCTGCTGCATCGTTGGGGGGGCGTTTAGGCCTAAGGTAATGTGAGAAGATGAAGAAGATGAAGACATGATATGGTGGCTCCCCTATGCAAGACAAATTCTTTCAACTCTTTTTTGGACAGCAAGGGACAATTAAAAAAAGCAACACAAGAAGGGATTATGCGGCACCAAAAATATAGGAGGAAATGGAAGGGATGAGCAGGCAGGAAGGAGTGGCGGCGGGGTGTTGGGAGAGAGCAAGAAATTCCTGCGCTTTATATGAGCATACATCAATAACTGTTTTCGTCCTTGCTTGGCACATTTATCACGTTGAAACTCTTATTCAAGGTTCAGCTGATCAGCCCCAAAGTTAAAAATGTTTGATTTTGATGCGCATTGTCTCAATTCGTTGCGAGGTTCAGGGCTCCACGAATCGTTTTCAAATTCAATTCACCATTTCTGGACATTTTCCTGTTCATAAAATTAAAAATTAATTAAGAATTGTTTGTCTTCATTTTCTTCATGATGGGTGAGATTTAAATAGTGGTTGTTATGTAACAATAGCGGCGGTGTCCCAAAAATTATATATAATAAAAAATAGTGGTGTGCAGTGGAATAACTCTAGTATTAATAATCATAATTTAATCGATAACGGTCAATAACGACAACAACATACCGTTATTTCAGCTGTTATTCCGTTATTTTATTTTCTAAAAAAAATCAGCTATTTTCCAAAAGAAAATCGACTCTTTTAAAAATATTCACGACCTCAATACCTGTACTAATTGTAATAGTATCCATTATCTTTGCTACTTTGGTAAACATAATAAAATTAAAAACATAATCATAACACTAATTTAAGTTCATGAATTGATGATCAATCCCCTCAGAGGACAAAATATTTTAAGAAACACACGAGTGAATGTATAACTTTTACTGTCTAATCTGAGCAACAGTTCTTAATTATTTGGCTGATTATCTGACCTTTTTGTTGATTTTATAATCAGTTTCAAGGTGGAAATGATGATCTTATTGTTCATGTACCAGATTCATTCTCCCCCCATTCAGTACAAATGCGGCTTCAAGTACTATTAATGGAAAGAGAAATGGGCTCTGAAATTTGGATTAGATTAGATTAATTTCTTATCTAAGATAAATATTAGCACATTCTAATGAAAAATGTTTAGAGGTTTGGCGATTTCTAAAATTGATTAAATAAATTGACAGTTTCTGGAAGATGTATATATATAATTAAAATGAACAAAACATTAAAATTAAACAAGTTTCATTTTAATTACTTTGGTTTGGTATGAAAGCCTCCATTTACATAAGTTGGAAGGGAAAAATGAGAAAATAAGTCCTTGAATTTTGTCAATTTATTTAAATAACTTTTTAACTTTAGTTACGTCCATACAAGTTACATCGTTTTCAAATTCAATTCACCACTTCTCGACATTTTCCTGTTCATAAAAATATAAAATTAATTAAGAATTGTTTGTCTTCATTGCTCGTTTAAGTCTTTATGATGGGTGGGATTTAAATAGTGGTCGGTTGCGGAATAGCGATTGCTATGTAGTAATAGTAGAAGTGCCCGTAAAAACTATATATAATAAAATATAGCTGTGCAGCGGAATCACTCCAGTATTAATAGATTGCAATCATAATTTAGTGAATAACAGTCAATTGCGACAATAGCATATGATTATTTCATGTTCAATTATTTTATTTTCTAAAAAATCATCTCTTTCTTAAAAGAAAATTAATTCCTTTTAAAAAATTCACGACCTTGTACTAATTGTAATAGTATCTGTTATCTTTACAACTGCGATAAACATAATAAAATTAAAAATGTGATCATTATATTTATTTAATTGGCATAATGCAACAAAATGACCCTAACATTTGACAGTAGTGTCAAATTTACCCGTATTGTTTTTTTTGGAACATTTGGGTACCAAACGTTTATGTTTGGGTTAAAAATACCCACGCTGGAAGGAAACCGTCAGTCAACTAACGGTCAACATCGGATGTTGACATAGCGTGCACACGTGGAAGAGAAAGTTGATGTGGACGCCCATGTCATCCAGATTGCTGACGTGGCACTGCCACATCATTTTTTACAAATTATTATTTATATTTTTTATATTATTAATTCGAACCAATCAGAGAGTGACATGTGTTACTCTCTGATTGGTGCAAAGTTAAAATGGTGAACTGTAAGAAAGGAGATTCAAACCTGGGTCTCTCATTGTATTGCTTGTTGTTTTGCCACCATGCTATGCTATTTGCTCGAGTAACTTATGAAACAAATGGTATTTAACATTCATTCTTTCGTCCGAATTTCCTTTTAAAAAAACAAAACACATGTTGCTATTCATAAACCAGTTTTTTCCTCAAGCTTTTTACCCCGATTTTTTCCTCAGCCTTAGTTTCCCTTTTACCCCAATTATTCCCCATATATTAGGGTTTATATCCCTAATTTAACGAATCATTTCTCATTTGATTCTATCTCCATCAAAAGGCACACGAAGCATTTCATCTCGAATTGATTACGCGTTTGAGTGGTAGGGACGGTGAGTTTATTTTTTGTCATATAACTGTTTGATTATTTTATTTCATCGAAATGGGTTTGTGGGTTTTTTTTTGAATTCTTTGTTAGATGTATGGGTTTAGGATTTAAAACCTACAACTTTATTTGATTGTATGTGTTGTAATATATTTCGAATTGGGTAAGGGTTTGCTTTTTCTGTTAGGGTTTATGTTGGGTTTATAGAAACAAATTTTCTACTTAAATGTTGAGTTTTATGTTAGTATTTATGTTGAGTTTACGATTTGGGTTTAGAGTTTGAGACCAATTTCCCGTTTTTCGATGGATATATAATTGTTGTGGTTTCTTGAAATGTTAGTATACTATTTCGATGTATATATGAGTGGTAGGGACTGCATTGTTTATTTTTTAACTAGAAAAGTGGTTCCTCAATATGCAGTAGAAAAACACTTTGTTCGTTTTTGTTTTGGGTCCCTCCATATGTATAGTAGCCGCCAACATAATAATTATTTATTGTTCTGACCAATACAGATGAGCGAGGATAAGGAGTATTACATGAATTTACACGTTGATGGAAAATTTGTGCGATATCCATATGTGAGATATAAAGGTGGTGAGTTGATTAGGTTGAAAAAGGATCCAAATACAATTTCATACTTTGAGGTTTATAAACTTATTCAGGATGTTTTATATTTCAATACTATACAAATAATATACTTTCATGAACCATTTAGTGGGGGTTTACAAGATAATCTGAGGGTGTTTTTTTGATAATACAAGTATAATTGTCATGTTGAACTACTGGGTGAAATATGGGTTTATAGACATATATGTTGAGCATGAAGTGGACACCCCTGAAATTGTTGATGACATCTTACTCATAAATGCTGGTGAGGGTAATGATAAGGGTGATTGTACTGCTAAAATGGTTGCTACTGGTGAGGCTGATGATATGAGTGAAGGTGTTGATGATGATGTTGTTGCATGAAATGATGTTTCCCCTGCAAGTGCATAGTGATAGTGAGGAAGATAATGCCTATTGCATAAATGTTCTATATTTATCTGATGGTCAGGATGATAATGAACTACAATCTGCCAGAGAGAAAATGAAAGGTGAGGAACAAGTAGAGGTAAACACCGACTGTGAGAATGAAACTGCAACTGAAACTGAGATCCATGAGTAGGATGTAGATAGGGGAGGAAATATTGGAGTTACAGAAGGTGTAGATGGGGTTGAAACCGATTACTGTAACAATGACGACCACTAGAGCTTGATTGGGTCAGATGATGATGAACATGAATAGACTGCTAGGAGAATAGGAAAATATACTATTTATAACCCACATGTTGAGAGTCTTGAATGTTGTTTGGGGATGTTATTTATAGATGGAAAACAATTCAAAGATGTTATCCATAAATATTCGAGATGAAGTAGAAGAGAGTTGAGAATTATACATTATGTAACGAATATGATCAGTTACAAATGCATTACATCTAAAAATTGTCCATTGAGAATCTATGTGAGTACAAACAAGAGGATATGTAGTCTACAGGTGAAGACTTTCATAGATGAACGCAATTGACCTGTTAGTTTTACTAACATGATGATTATTGCTAAAGTTATTGTAGGACATTTTGAGGATACTATTAGAGACCACCCAAAAATGAAGCTTAAAGAGATACAAAGAAGGGTGCAGTCTGAGATACATGTTAATGTTAAGTTGAGTAAATGTCGAAGGACAAAGAATTTGGTGACATCAAGGTTGGCTGGAAACTGCAAAGAAGAATTTGCTCAATTATGGGACTATGCAGACGAGTTAAGGGAAAAAAATCCCGGGAGTATAATAAAGATGGCAGTAAATAGGGTGTTAGATAATTATCAACCTCATTTCAAGAGATTTAATGTATGCTTTAATGCTACGAAGAGAGGTTGGAAAGAAAGGTGTAGGCTTATACTTGGTGTGGATAGTTGTTTCCTTAAGGGCCCATTCAAAGGTATACTTTTGTCTGCTGTTGGAAGAGATGGCAATGATCTGATGCACCCTATCGTATGGGTTTTTGTGGAGGGTGAAAGCACAGATTCTTGGTCTTGGTTTCTTAGTCTAGTTACAATAGACTTGGGATTGGATGATGGATTTGGCTACACCATCATCAATGACCAATACAAGGTAAATTCTGACCCTGTAGTTAATATACATATTGCTGCTATTTGGATCTGAATGTCAATTTGTTTAAAATTTTTTGTCAGGGTATATATATTGTTGTAAATGATCTTCAGCCACAAATAGAGCATAGAAATTGTGCTAGACAAGTGTTTGCAAATTGGACTGGAAGTAAGAGAACAAAAGCATATCAATTTTCCTTTTGGCAAATTGTTAAGTCCACCATTGAGATAGAATGGAAGAAGAACAAAGATGCACTATCCAAGATTGATGACACAGTTGCTACTGAATTGTTCAGTAAAAAAGAAAAAAAATGTGGACCAAGGCTTTTCAAAAACTGAATGCCAAGTCGGATATAGTCGACAATAATTTTTGTAAGGCATTTAATTTTAGCATTATTGAGTCAAGGTACAAGAGCATTATTACAATGCTTGAGGAGATTAGAGTGAATATTATGGCAAGAATAGTTGAGAAGATGAGATTTTTGGCTACATGGAAGTACAATTATGGGTCATTAATCAAG